ACAGAATTCTCAAATGCAAGTTTATTTAAATTCACTTTAACTCAGTATGTGCCTCATTGCATTTTTAGGAAAGGGAAGTGGAAGAAATTATGGCAATGACAGATTATCACTAATACAGAATTACGGACGCCATGATGGCAGAAACAGTGTGAGCTCTGAAGTCAGAATCACCAAGGTTGGCCACCCTTTCCCCTTCTGAGACAGTACTACATAATGGTTAAAAACACAGTGTCTTCCTGAGCCAGGCTGCTGGAGTGCTCACATCCCAACTCCTTCACTTACTAAGGATATGACTTTGGGCAGATTACTCAACCTGTCTGTGCTTCAGTTTCCCCATCTGTAAGTGAGAGTAACAATACCATCTATCTCATCGGATTGCTGAGAACAATAAATGGAATAAAGTGTTAAAAAAAAAAAATGTCTGCTATCTTAGGCAAGTGACTTTACACATCCTTCCCAGGGTTTTTTGAAAATTAACAAACTGAGCCTGTAAAAAACCTACCTCAGTGCTCCCTAAAGAGCCACACTAGACACTTGTTTTATGTTTGGTGTTGGATTGTAAGCTTTACATAAACTATCTTATTTAATCCTCACAGCAACTCCATGAAAGTACTAATATTTATTCCCATTTTATTCACACTCAGATAAAATCTAGGTGGGATACTTAAGTAACTTGCCTTAGATCAGAAAGTGAGCAAATAGCTAAGCCTTGAGCCTTAAGTATATTTCACAAGTGGCATTTAACACAGGATCTTTGACTGGCTCCTGGCTGAAATAACCAGTTATAAAAGACATTTTTCACATAATTGAGACTGAGTGTTACAGACATCGGGGAATTGTTCTTTATTTTGTTAAATGTGATGATGGTATTGTGGTTTCACCAAAGAGTATTCTCATCTTTTAGGAGGATCAAGTATTTAGATATAAGAATTCTGATGTCTAATTTTGAAATTGTTCCACAAAAATATTTTAGCCTTTTTTTTAAAAAATGAGAAACCTTTCAACATTAGGAATATGACTGCAGGCAAAGCTGTAAATCCATTCTTTCAACAACATGTATGTTGCAGAGAAGTATTCACAAGAAGAACAAAATAAAAAGCTGAATGAAGAACTCATGTCTCCAGGATTATAGCTTACTTGGGAGAATTTCTTCATTTTTGGGAAAATTTCTTCATTTTTGTCTGAGAATTTCCGAATTATTCATATCCATGATTAAATGCTTTAAAGGTATAGTATGAGTTAAAAATTTTTTTCTAGTCCAATGTACAAAAGACCACTTTTAATAGTTTGCTGATGCTCTTTACTTTTTAAATTATTTTTAAAATTGTAGAGTTATAAATCTTAACATGCAGTTCTAACTGGAGTGGGAATCAAAGAAGAGTCCATGTATTTTTTATATAGAAGCTGTTTTTAGGGCCATCAGTGAAAAGAGCAGATAAGCTTTCCTGAATTACTACATATTTATTAGAGAGCAACTTTAACATTAGAAGGCAAAACATGCCCTGGCCGGTTTGGCTCAGTGGTTAAAGTGTCAGCCTGCTGTCCAGAGAGACCGGGGTTCAGTTCCCACTAAGGGTGCGTACCTCAGTTGTAGTTTGTCCCCGGCCCTGGTTGGTCATGTGGGTGGCAGTCACTCGATGTGTCCCTTTCACGTTGATGTTTCTCTCTCTTTCTCTCCCTCCCACTCTATCTGAACAAAAAATGTCCTCGGGTGAGGATAAAAAAAAAAGACAAAACATTATTTTTTAAATTAAGCATAATTTTACTAGTTGTAAGATTCTTATGTATTGTATTGTGATGTGAAATGTAATAGATATTTAATAAATATATGTGTACTATCAAGAAAATCTATTTTAGCCCTGGCCGGTTTGGCTCATGGTTGGAGTGTCCGCCTGCGATCCAGAGTCATGGGTTTGGTTCCCGCTAGGGGCACATACCAAAAATAAATAAATAAATAAAAATAAAAAATAGAATCTCAAATTCCTTTAAAAGAAAATCTATTTTACCTAAGGCACAAATATAACTGCCCTAGGTCTCCAGTTTATTGTCACCATTTCTATTTATAAGTAACCCAACTTGCCTGCTTTGGAAAGTATCTGAGGGACTTCAAACATGAAACCATTAGAAGAGAAAACAGAAGATCAAAATTTACACAGAGGAGTAAATAAATCTAGCAAAAAACTAGGCTAATGTGGTTACCCTAATCAAGAAATAATTTTGGCCCTGGCCGGTTTGGCTCAGCGGTTGGAGTGTCCGCCTGCAGTCCGGAGAGACCCGGATTCGGTTCCCGCGGTTGCGGTTTGTCCCCAGCCCTGGCTGGGTTGTGTGGGTGGCAACCACTCCATGTGTCCCTTTCACATCGATGTTTCTCTCTCTCTCTCTCCCCCTCCCACTCTATCTGAACAAAATATCGAAAAATGTCCTTGGGTGAGGATAAAAAAAAAAAAAAAAAAGAATTTTGGCTCTGAGCTTCCAGACAGTATTTGGGGGGGGGGGGGGGGGAGAAGGCAATCACAGCAAACTCAGACAGAAACCTTCTTCCTGGCACTAACATTTAAAAGAAAATTTTCAGATGGATCATTACATAAGAACATTGAACAATATAACAGACAGTGTCCACAAATGCCAGTTTACAGCCCATGCAACCCGCTTTCTTAACAGGCATTTCATGTATCATGCCAAGGTCATTACATTAAAAGTAATTCTGAGAAGGCTGTTTCTGCAGTGAGCTAAGGCACCACAGTTTTTTGATTCTCAACTGAAACCAGAATGTGCCCTCAAATATCCATTGTCTCAACTGGGCTTTTGACAACAGTGGGGGCAGCCAGTTCCATGTTGAACTGCTCTGAACGCCTGGAATAGAGATATTTATTATTTTACTGGTGATCCCACTCGAAGTCCTTTTGCTTTGGATACCAGATAACATGCTGCTGTGAAAAGAGAGAGGCCAAGCCAGTATTTACAAGGGATGGAGCCAAGGAACCCAGTGTAGGGCAGTCAAATCAATCTTCGGAATTCCCAAACCCTGAGCATGGCAAGTGTCCTTCCCTGCTACTATTGCTATTTGTGTGTGCAAGGACAAAGGAGGACCCATAGAAATACCTGTTACTAATCAAGTCCTAAACGGGGTAAAGCCCAGCAGCATATACCTTCCCCCCACCCATATTTCAGCCCTAGAAACACAACTTTTTTCCATTTTCCCATTTCAAGATAGTTTACAAGGGCAAGCAAAAATGTCTAAAATAGCAGAGCCAGCATATGTGGTGGGATGGCCACAACAAGTACACCAAGCGGGATCCTCTCCAGCTATGGGTGTCCGGCAGACCAGGGGTTACTGCAATCAAAGCTCCCTGGGGACCCACAGAAAGGAAATTCCCTTTCTCAAAGACTAGCCCTTCCTAACCTCTCTCCCATCCAACCTGGCAACAGCAGACATCAAAGGATAAAGGGGCATTAAAAAATGAAGTGAGTTCTTAGAGTAGATTCTTACAGTATTCTGTCACCTGCTGCAAGAGAAGCCCTCTCGCCCAAGCCCTGAGTCACTTCCCCTCTCTACACCAAGTCTGAATGCTCGCGGAGGCAAAAGATCCGGGGCCTCTGGAGCTGTCTACCTGCAGGCCCCACGCCCCCACAGACACTCCAGGGGCCTCCCTCCAGGGCTAGTCCCTATGGCTTTCGACAGGGTCTTTGCGCCCAAGCCCGCGCCGCAGCTACCTTGGCTAATGGCAGGCAGCTCTGAATGAAAGGAGCCCAGGCAGGCTCCGGATTTATGAATGTGCAGGGGAGGAGGGGAGGGCTATCATGTGACAATAAAGGAGAGTGTCTTATTCACAAAAAAAAAAAAAAAAAAAAAAAAAAGTGGCTGGTGGCGGGCACAGACGCTGAGTAGCGACGGCTGCTGTGCGGTGGCCGCTCGGACCCGAGGCCGACGACCTCAGGCACCAGGCCCAGCGGCCTTGCCCCAAGATTGGAACGGCCTCCGGAGGGGCTGGGAAAAAACCCAACCCTACTCTGCAACGGTGAGGCTGGAGGGAGCTGCACCTTGGCGTGGGGCTGGAGAACTGCACGGGTCCCACCGGGGGCGGCGGGTCTGGCAGGGATCCCCTAGGGCGAAGCGCCCCGAGCTTTGTTACTCTCAGACCCGCGGGGCCGGGCACGCACGACTGTGCACGCGCGCACACGCGCGCGCACACACACACACATGCACACGCGCACACACACACACACACACACACACACACACACACTGGCCCGCAACGTACTGCCCCGCACGATCCCGTCCGCCCCCGCTGCGCACGCCTCGGATCCGCCCCCTGAGCTAGACCCCGCGGGGCGCCTGCCCCGGGCCCACAGGCGCGTGCACATACACCCGCACGCGCTGCGGGACCCTGGGGGAGGCTCCAGCACGCCAGCCAGCGCGTGGACCCCGGCGCACGCAGACCCCCGCACGGCCGGCGCCCAATGCTCCCCTGCTTGGCCGCGTTTTTTATGAATGAAAATGTGGTATGCAAATGAGAGCGATTCAAGAAAACGAAATGGCGGAGCCTGGGCCCCAGAGGGCTCCTGAAAGGACCGCAGGGCGAGCAGCGGGGCGGGAGAATCAGAGTCACCAAGCAAACACCCACCGACCCCAGGAAACCCGAGCGGGGGTGTCAGGTCTTCCTCTCTGGCCGCCGAGGATTTCGAGGGTGGGGGATGGATGTTTGTAACTCCCCGGAGAGGGTGCAGGGACCTCTCCGAGGTCACCAGTGCGCCCTTGGCCCCCGCAGCAGCCACCAACCCGCCGACCCCAGGCGCGCCCCCGCCGGCCCACAGCAGTTTGCCCCCTCCTCACTTAGACAACAAGGAGGGAAATCTCGCGTCCCAAACCCCACAGGCCAGCGAGTCGCTGCACCCCACGCCAAGTTCACCCGACGAGCGTCCCTTGCCTGCGTCCTCAACCCCGGACCCCCACGCTGCCCCCGCAGGGCACACGCGTCCCACCTCGCGGCCAAACTTACTCGTCCGGGTGTGTTTCTTCGGTCATTTTCCTGTTCACCTAGACGCCTGTCCCGCGGCGGGCAGCTTTGCTCCCTTCATCTTCCTGTCCGCTCACCCCCCTTCTTCACATCTCCGGAGATCGCCTGATTTGGTTGGGGAGGGGGGACGGCGAGAGATGAAGGGGGCGCCGCAGAAGGCAGAAGGGGAAGCAGGACGCCCGGGGCGCGGGGTGGTTTGGGGGAAGGGGTGCAAAGACAGGCTGCGGGGGGCAGGAGCGCCGCAGCGCCCAGGGGCGAGGCGGGAGGGGGCTCCGGGGGCTCGAGAGCGGGCGGAGGGGGAGAGCTTGGGGCAGGGGACGGCGGTGAGGGAGAGGAGAAAAACAAGCGCGCCTTGGAGCGGCGGAGACTGCTGAGAGGAGGAGAAGAGGGCCGGCCGCGGGTGGGGGCTCGGTCCGGGGTCGCCCCCGAGAGGCCGAGCCAATCACGGTTCCGGGGAGCGGTCGGCGGCCGGGGGAGGTGCGCCTGGGAGGCGGTGCAGGGCGCCCCGTCCGAGCCCCATCTCTAGACTCTGCCGATTTACTCCATATTGGATTCTCACCGCCGCCAACAGGAGGAGGAAGTAGGGCGGAAGCGATGACGTCTTCCCAGCGGCCAGAGGTGGTGGAGTGCAAAAAGCTTCCTACTTGCGACCGAAAAAGAGACAGAGAGAGAGAGAGGAGAGAGAGAAAAAAAACTTTGTCCGGTCTACTGAGCATGCCCGCCCCCCCACCTCGGGTCTTCCACTCCCGGGGGAGCGGGGGAGCGGAGTTGTTTGCGCCGTGTCTGTGTGACTCCGGATCCTCCTTCGTCAGAGCTCCGGGTTTTAAGATGCCCGAGAGGAGGGAGGAGGCGGGAGCCGGGGACTCGCACACATCTGGCTCCCGTTTAGTTCCCTCACTGGTACCAAACCCCTGGATTAAAAATCGGGGGGCGGGGGGGGAGGAGGAAGGGTGGAGACGGGGAGCTAGAGGTAGGGCCTGGCGGGGTAGGGGGGCGGTGCTCGGGCTTTGAGGACCAATTACTCCCCCACCGTTTGGTGGGAGGGTGAGGGAGGCACAGGTGCCTTTGCCAAGGTTCTTAATGTGAATTTTATGATCTTTTTTGTCTTTGGTAGGGCAACGGGCATTATTTTATATAAAAAGAATAAAAGGTAAGTCTAACGCAGCCCAGAAACCTTTGTATTTCAGTAGAAATGATGGGCTTTCTCGGGTTAAAAGGTAAGCCCAAATATATTTTTAAATTTATTCCGTAAATCCCTCTAATGTTGGTGGAGGATGGCCCTGTCCCAGGCCCTTGAAAACCATAGTTACTGGGCCAGAGGTTGCACCCCATTGGGTTTTAGCACAGTGAAATGGGGAGATGGAGAGTTTCCCTCTCCCAACCCTTTGTCTTTAAATTATTTTTCTTATCTTGGCCTGGGACGATGGCCTAAGTGGGCCCATGCTCGCCAAAGCAGCACTGTCTGGGCAATGGGCAGGGCTTGCTTCCTGGGCAGAACCCTGCACAGTTGGGCAGGGATCTTTGATTGTTTTGATCCTCTGCTGTCACAGTCTTGAAATTCTTTATAGTGTTTGAAAAAACAAGCGCTCCACATTTTTACTTTGCTGTAGGTCCCTCCAATTACATAGCGTTTGGGTATTCCCTTCTGGGGTCTTGTTAGAGAGCAAGAGATATAGTCCCTGCACCTTCCTGCTCTCCAAACACAGCAGACTTTCCATCCTCCTGAATGTGCTAAGATACTATACAGATATTTTAACTAAATAGCAACCATTGAACAAATTAAAATTAGATTAAACATAACTCAAATTAGTACACCTAAGGGGCACACACACACACACACACACACACACACACATTTGGAGAGCCACAAGTGCTCCAAAGATAGAATGAGTTTCACCTTGAGTCAAGGAGAAACTGGTGGTTTACCCTAGCTTCCTGCTGATCACAACCATGAACTTTGTGGATATGGATTGGGCTTGACCCACCTTTGATGCTGAGTGCTGGTGTGTGGTGGTGAAAAGGGCACTAGATGGGAGGAATATCTGGGTTCTGGTTTTCTCCTGGCAGCCTGGAGACCCTGAGTGAAGCTTTTAGCAGTTCTTTACTTTATTTACAAAACAGGGACAACAAAGCCACAGTTGTCTTTCTTAGTTTTTGAGGCCATTGAGAGTATATGAGAAAGCACTGAACAGAGCAAGCTCTTATTGGTCTCTAAAGCTAAGGTGTCTACCCAGTTCTCACCTTTGGCCATTGTTATTTTTTTCCTAGAGGTGCTGAAAGAGATCCCACTCAGTCATTCCTGAACTTCCGGAAAGTCATTTGTCCATATCAAAATTATCCACTCAATGGGCATTTTGGGGGGCTCCACCCTCCAGTTTCAGGGAGCCTAAATGGCAAGGTGGCAAGTGAGCTGATTATTCATTTCTGTGGGTAGGCAAGCAGAACTGGTGTCATCACTACTTATTCATCCAGCTCTCTGCTAATAGCAGTGAATGACTGGCAGGGCCCTGGAACCAGGCAGCCAGAGGAGCTAAGAAAAACATGCAAGGTCCAGAATTAACCAGGTCCCCATTTGGATGTCCTAGTGCCACAGCACCAGCAGGTTTTTAGGTTCTCTGGGCCTTGGGTTCAGTGTCTGTAGTGTCAGGATAATACCCACAAATAGGGTCGCTGGGAAGATTAAATGGCTATACAGTAAGGGTACTGTGTTAAGCATACTGCAAATAGGAAATTAATGGCAACGCTTTCTTCTTTGTAGGCAGCTGCGTTACTAAATGCTACCCTCTCCACTCCCAGTACTTCATGTTCCTCTAAAGAAAACCTACCAGTTTTCTTCTGCCTTGTTCATTACCCAAAAGGGGCCTTTTGATGGAACCGTTCCTAGCAGGTCACCTCCTGGTTCCTCCCCATCAATTACTAACTGTACTGCCACTCCATAGAAGAAATGGCATATTGGTCGAATAACTCAGATATGTATGTTGATCTGAATATCAGGGTGTTATCAAAGTCTACTGGGTTGTTACCGGAATAGGGGTTATCACGGAGTTAGGGCTTTAATTTAATGACACTACTGAAAGAGCTAAACACCCACATCCTTGTCTCTCCCCCACAATCTCCAAAGCGGGGCAAAGCAGCTCTGAACACGATCAAATCAAGGACATCGACTCAGAGTGAGATAATACAGCTTAAAAAGTAATGTCGATCTACTCACAACCCTCACGCAAACCTAACGGAGGCCCCAGCAAGATTCCCCCAACTCCCCCCCCCACCCCCCCAATCCCCAGCCTCTCAATCCTGAGTCCCGGGCTAGGCAAGCACCCCGACTCGGGTCCTTCTCGTCGGCTGCCCGGAAAACCCGGAGCGCGGAACTGAAGCGACCCTCGGTGGCCCGGGACGGGCATGCTCAGTAGACCCGCAGGTCTTGTTTAACTCAACAGCGGGTCGCGGCCCCTGCCCCTGCTCGCCCCGCACCGGCGCGGGGAGAAGCAGACATTTTATCCTTCCTAGCAATCTGCCCTCTCTTTCATGTCCTTCGTCCCCTCTCTGCGTCCTCCCTCTTCTCACCTATCGGAGTCTGGCAGGGCTGTGAGTGTAGATCTCCCCGGGGTGGGTGGCGGAACGGGATCCCACAAATCACTCGCCCTTACCCGACCAGGGGCGCGAGTGGTGGGGCGGGGTGACTTGGAAAGGACTATACTGTACCCTAAAGTGTGTGCGGCCCGGTCCGCAGAAACGCCCTCACTGACGCGGCACCCCTGCTCCAGGCCGGGGGAGGCGCGCGCAGCTGCGCCGGGGCCTGTCCTCATCTCACCCCCTTTCTGCCCCTTCGGTATTTCTCAATGACCAGCGCTCGGAGGACACTTCCGACGGGGGAGGGAGAGGGTGTCATTAGCGCTCAGTTTATCAGTTCCTTCCGGTCTGCCGGGAGCTCTGCCCTGCGCGCTGCTGGGCCGCGCCTAGGGCGCTCTGGTGCCTTTATTATTATGTTTAAATAAGCAGTCGTGTGTGCCAGCGTGTGCCAAGTGAGTTTGTAGCCCAGCTGTCTCCCCCAAGACCCACCGGCAGGCATGGAAACCCCAGCTCTCTCGTAATGAAGGGGATGATGCAAACTTAGAAACTGACCCGGTGCCCGGGAATGGTGCCCTCCCCCACCCCGCGCGCGTCGTCCCAGTCCGGGCATGAATGGCTGAAGCCAGATTGCATAATCTGCCGGGTATAAATAGCCGGCGGGCGGGCCGCTGACGCGCTCGCCCGTACCGTTATCGTGCAATACTTCAGCCCCGAAGCAGTTCACTCCCAGGTCATTTTCCCTTTCAGTTGCAATGCTGGGATTTTAAATAGCAGAGATGAAAGGCTCTTGTCCCTGCCTCCCTCCTCCCTTGAGCTCATATATTATGAATGAAACGCCAACCTCGCGGCTTCCTAAGGTGCTCCACTTCAGGTAGGAGAGAGGCTCAATGTCAAGGCAGCGGTCCGTCCAAGTTGTGTGTGTGCACGCGCTGGGGAGGGAGAGAAAGTAGGAAATGTTTATCAGGGCTGGGAAACCTTGTCGAGAAAATGTAACCGCTTAGGGTTTGCCTCTGGAGTTTCAGTTTATAATTCTACAAGCCTCAGTCATTTTAAGAGTGGTTTATGCAAAGGGTCTTTCAACTGTGGCTGCTTGCACTGGCCGCAGCTCTGTGCAAGTGCAGTTTCATTCAGAGAAGCTGGTTCCCTTTCCCCTTGGAGGCAGCGAACACCCCCGACTCTAACAGCCTTAGGGCGTTGGAAGGTTGGGGAGAAAAGCTAGCGTAACCAGTTTAGTCATTTTCTAGTTCTAGAACTCTTCTTAGAGGCCTCAGCTATGTCCAAAGTTGAGAATATCTGAAAACTTACTCTTTCCAACTGTATTTTACAAATCTGTGGTCCTTCTAAAAATGAAAGTATACAGAGGGTTTTCCCCCTTTTCTTAAACACCAAGTTTCAATTTGATTTCTCAAAATAAAATTGCCAGTTCGCCTCAAATGGATTTCTGGTGTGTGAAAGGCAATGGTCAGGTTCATTATTTTTTTAATTGGATGTCCATTCCTTTATTATTTTAAATTATTTTTAATTTTCGTTAATCCTCACCTGAGGATATTTTTTCATTGATTTTTTTTTTTTTTGAGTGGAAGGGAGGGAGGAAGAGAGAGAGAGAGAAACATCTATGTGAGAGAGACACATCAATTGGTTGCCTACCACTCAACCTCAACAGGGTCCAGGGATCAAACATGCAACCCATGTACATGCCCTTGACCAGTAATGGAAGCCAAGACCCTTCAGTTCAAAGCTCTAATTGCTGAGCCAAACCTGTCACCGATGTCCATCCTTTCATCTGCACTTAAAGTAATCTATGGGGCAATGGTTCCTGCCCTCTAAGGGCTTGGTCAGGTGGGGCAACAGGCCTGTAAAGAAAACTTTAGAGCATCAATTTTCAACCCTTTTCATCTCATGGCACACATAAACGAATTACTAAATTCTGTGGCACACCCAATCTAACAACAAAAAAAATAGGCATAATTT